CAGTGCCCCCGCCTGGCACCCCGGGGTACGGTCGCTCCTCGTGGATGATCGGGTGCGCGAAGCACGGCATCTCGAGGACGAGTTTCGGCGAGTCGCGGAGGCTGGCTTCCGCGTCGGTCTGGTAGGCGCGGTGCTTGCGGAGCTCGTCCGGGTCGGCCAGGGCCGCCACCAGGCGGTCGACCCTCGAGAGGGACACCGGGTCAAGCCAGTCCGCTCTGTCCATCGCCCGCAGGCGGTACTTCTCTCGCATCTTGTGAGCGATAAGTAGTTGTGCGCAGTGTTTCACGAGGCGTGTGCGAGGGATCCGTGGGGGAGAGCAAGGCGAAAGTAAGGTCTTCTGCTGCTGTACATCTTCACTAAATAGGACGACGGGGAGAAGACCGGGGACGTACTTGTATTCGACGGCGGCATCTGTGTCGGCCATATCATAGATGATGAAATCGAGAGGCCTTACAGCTCATGTTCTTTTACTCAATTACAAGCACTGCGTCGGAGTTCGCCACTCTGATATCTATGTTAGCTACGGACAGAGGGGCTTCCGGTTCCTCAACAGAACTCAACGCCTGGAAAAGTTCTCTTGCAGCACCACAACACGTGCATAAACACTCCCCACAACACCTGGTCACACTCCCCCATCCAAACAAAATGTGCGACGTGTGGTCCCAAGGAGTACGAGATTCGTCCAAGTAAGTATCCATTACGCCGCCAAACAAACACGCCTCACCCGCTCTAATGCAAACCCCCAGTCATCCTTGGAGAGAATCCCGTCGCGGCCACCGTCTCCGCCATCATCGCCGCCGCCGCTACCGCACCATACCCCGTCCTGCCCCGGCTCTCTGCCGGACGGCGGGGCGGCCGGGTCCCACGAGAAGGGGGCCCTGTCGGTGAAGAGAAACGGCCGCTTCTGGAGGCCCATGTTGAGGGAGCCGTTCGCGTCGAAGAAGCGCATGCTCGCTACGCCCACGAGACGGTCCTTCGCCCCCCGCAAGACCACCACCTGACAAAAAGCGTTTTGTTTGGTGTATTGCGGGTATGGGCTTATTTTTTGCTTCGTTTGCGCCAATCCCGCTCGTCTACTTGTGAGTATAACTATTCTTGGGGTACATGTTGTTGTCAGCAGTAGGTACCCCCTCAGTCACATTGTACCAGCAAGCAGGAGTACTATGTACTAGCGGAAATCACATATTTCCGTACCACAACGAATTGGTTGTAGCGACCCATCCATCTGCGATTAGAACCAGACGCACGCAGATACCCGCAAGCACTGCTTCTACGAGTTGCAGCGCGTGGGTATGTAAGTAGCAAGACTACGCTTCTGTACCTTGGTGTTCATCCCACGGCACACGGATCACCACGGGAGAAAGAGGGCTGGTACGGTTCACTCACCAGCTGGGAGTTCCGGTCGAGATCTCTGTACCTCACGGGAAAACACATGCTGTCGTCCCAAACGATGGCATGCTGCCTCGGGTCGTATCTCGACGGGGTGTGCGAGCTGTTCCGTTCCACCCCGGTGCCGTGCGGAAGAGGATCACCCGTGGAACATACCCGCGTAACGCGTGAGGTTTCGCGGCGGGGGGGGGGTTGGGGCAAGAAGAGAGCGAGCGGTGTTCAAGCGACCCGTTTCGAATGATGTTCGGCTACTTGCCTACTGCCGCTGCTGTTGTTTGTAGGTTGGATACTTGCCGGAACACCCCAAACGTGCCGATCCACCGACGGCGGGGCTCATTGGACGAACGGGGGTATACTGTACCCACACAACACGGACTCCGATGCAAGTGCAATCGCTCTTCCTTTGCCTTGAAAAAAGCAACATAGCAAAATGTGTCAAAGCCTCTTATACATCCCACACTGGCTGTCTACGATTCTTATTCTTCTTGCAGGACGAGTTTAAAAGACTTGCGCATATTATGCGGCAATTGCTGCCGCAGACTCAGGGAACGGAGTAAATACTACACTCGAAGTGTAGTTCTGTAGCGCATACCAGTCTAACGTGAGCAGCTTCACGGGGAAAGTGCGGCTCTCAACAATGTTCGGTTACGGTTGTCTTGACAGCAATATTGGGCGTTTCGTGACACAACCCACTCCGCAGCGCTCTGCCTATCTATCTATCTGTCTGTCTGTCTGTCTACCCTTGCATGACCACGCGGGAAGAGACTTCGATGTAGATACCTCATGGCGACCTTGTGCATGGGCTGTCCGTCGGAGAAGAGCTGGCAGGTGGCAACCAGCTCCGGCTCGGCGACGATGCGCCTGACAATCCGCGCAATCTCCTCACCGTCATCAGCGGTGCCCGCCGTCACCTCGGGCGCCAAGCCGTGCTGCTTCTGCTGGCCCCTCTTCTTCTGTTGCTGCTGCCGCGGCTGTTGGTTGTAGTCAGCATCGCCTCCCGCGATGCCGCCGTCGCCTCCTCCTCCTAGCAGGTAGTCGGCAACAAGCGGGAGCTCCAGGCGAGCGACGCCGCAGCGTATCTCGAGTGGGACCGAGTGGCTCAGAAAGAAGCGAAGCTCTTTGAACGCGTGGAGGTCTCTGGCGTCCTCCTTGTAGTCGAGGCTGCTCATGGTTGCTTTGCTATGTAGGCGTGTGTGAGGCGTCTCCCGTCTCCCGTCTCCCGCAGCAGTTCCTTTTCTCGCCGCCGCTCACGACGGTAAGGAGGCGTCGCCCGAGTTTAACAGTCCCGCGCGCGCCCTGTGTTCGGCCTGACGGCCGTCACTACAGTGTGGACGTGTGCACTTGCTATCCGGCTTGTGACACAGCCAGCATAGGGTTCAAATGGAGTCCTCAAGCAACCCTGGCCCGCCCGGGTTGCTGGCCTCCGCCACGACGATGAGCCTGAACGTGTTCGATTACCTCGAGAGACTGCCTCCAGACGCGCTCGACAAGCTCTACGGCGCGGCACCGCCGGCGGCGGACGGGCAGGGCGGGAGAAGCCACGGGCAGTGGACCTGCAGGGCCCTCCTGCAGTCGCTGCCGCAGCTGGCCAAGCAGCACGTGATGCGGCTGCTGTTCGTGGAAGGGCCCGTGGGCAAGGGGATGCTCAAGTCTTGGGTGAAGAAGGAGTACCAGCGCGTCCACGCCGCGTCTGTCCGTAAGGTGTGCTGCTGCTTCATGCGACTTTGTTGCGAGCTTGGCGCCAAAGAAACGACCACGCGCGATCATGATGATGAACCGGGTCATGCGACAGCAGTTGCAACTCCTCTTGGCAACAGTCGTCCCTTGTTTCCCTGCGTTGATTGAGCGTTTCCCAGTGCCTGACGCTCTGGTGTTGCCCTCCTCGATGCTACGTTTTCTTCGGGGATCGGGACGGAGCACGGTCCGCAACACGGGCCTAACACGATACAGCATCCAAACGAGCACCGCTGGCAACGCAAGCAAGCGGCAATCTTTCCGCCGCTCCCGCCGCCGGGGACACCGCCACCTCTGCCCAGGTCATGTGTATGCTCCTCTCTATGTACACTTTTGGAACATGTTTGGGTTACATTGACTTCTGAACACACCTCTTCTCCCGTTCCGCACCCGAAAACAATGGCTGGCTTGTTGCCCAAACTTGAACCTCCGAAACACGTCAACGGACGACGGCGCAGTTGGTCAGCCTGCGAGTGCTTCTGCCTAGCGCGGGCGGGCAGGAGTACCAGTTGAACCCTCCGTTCAGGGAAAACCTGCAGCGAGCTCTCTGCGCGTCAGACAAGACGCCGTGGCAGGTATTTATGGTGGTGTCGAATCGAGCCGTAGGTTGTGTCTGAAATTTTTCTCGCTCGAAACATGCCCGGTCGCTCTCTGAGTACGCCGAACAAGGATCATATTACATGATGATACAATGACGTACTACTGAAAGCATGCACGCGTTCGCCGGAGCCCACTACAGCTAAAATACCTCACGCTGTTTATGGTTCTGTGCGCGCAGAGCTGTTCGTGTCAAGACCAAACCTTGTTTATTGTGGGCGGTGCCTAGACTCGAGAGACGGACTACTGCTGTAAAACCTATCACGTCGCTGGTGCCGTGCTTTCCCTAACCTTCAGCCCCCCCCAGAGCAACTAAAAAGCATATTGCGCGAACACAACACACCGCATATTCATCGACAAGTCGATGGCAATGCTGCTGCTGCTGTAGCAGTTTTCGACTAACGCTCTTCGCGTGGTTTGTGCCTGTCGTTTGGATTGTTCCTGTCTCCGTCCGTGTGTGAAGGGGGACGTGCCTCTTTCGGCGGATAGGAGCCCGCCGACCGTAGCTAAGATCGAGCGGCAGATGCACTCGCAGTGGCAAGGTCAGTACGCGGCCAGAACAATGGCCAACAAAGTAATCAGTGTGGTTGGGGTTGTTTTTTTTGTTATCATCATATGGTGCCTATGTATCGATCTCCGAGAATTCCGGAGCCATTTCTTCGCAAACGAGCCAAAAGGAGCCAAAAGTCTCTTACCTGAGTAAGAGGTAGAACCGATGGAACAATGTTTTCATGAAAGTACGCCTATTTTTTTCACTTTTTTCCGCGCACGGGGGGGCCTACAGATGTACTCTACTTCTTGGTGGGGTCTGACGAAGAGGGGAGGAGCACACCGCCTGCCAGGGTGGTCAAGTTCATGGAAGAAAGCGGCCTCATGAGACCCGTCAGAGGGAGGGGTGCTCTCCGCATCACCGACAAAGGGCAAGAAGAGGCGTGGAATTGTTCGCGGGGGGCGCGGGGGGGTAGCTTTTTGTGTTTGAGGGGAGGTGCGGGCGTTGGGGGAGGGGGTGATCTCCGAGTCATCGACGCTGGAGGGTGCTGTATACGCTCGTCGAACTGGGTACCACAATATGTCGATGTTAAGGCACTGGCCTGTCTGTTCGAGGAATCCCTGTTTGAAGGACTGCGAATTTGAGGCACTGTTTATTTCTTCCTCGTCATTTCACCTTGCGTGGGACTGGTCTCGTCGCCCTTGCCACCACTACCAGCAACAACACCATCAGCAACAACGACAACGACAACGGCAACAGCAGCATCATCACCACCCATGCCCCATGTTTTTTCTTCGTGTCCCTGACACCTAACGACAGGTACGAGTTCATGCTCAAGGAGGCGCACGTGCAGGCCTGGATGGTGGTTCACGCTCTCATCAACGGCTACGGCAGGACTCAGCCCGGCTGCCGTGACGAGCTGCTCGCCTTCCTCTTCCAGCTAAGCTACTGCAAGGTAAACAAGCACCATCGTATGGCAGAAAAGCTGTGTGCGGTGGTGGTGCGGTATTTGTATCTAACTTGATGCTTCCCCGGTTTTCGGGCATGTCGCCTTCACGATGAGCATAGAAAATTCTTTGTTTTTTGCCCCGTCTGCTCTTCCGCCTCAGCTTGGCATAATAGGTGTTGCGCGGCTTGGTCCAGAAAACCCACTACTGTTTTGCATTTCACAAGAAGCTCTGTCCCTTGTACAGCGGCTGGTACTTACCGGCTTATCCATCGACACCGTAGTCCGGAGGGCCTGCGCCGCCGCATCAACCATGCCTTGCCGTTCTTCACCGACCCCCTACCTATAATACCCCGCAGCTTCTGTCACTAGTAGTACCCTGCGCCGCCTCCGACGCCTCGGCTGTGTGTCCCCCGCGCGCTGGCAGGTGGGAGACGCCTACCCGCTGGGAGCGCTCACCCAGACGCAGCGCGATCTGGCCCAGGACTTCGTGGAGCTCGGGCTCCTCTTCAAGCGGAAGGCCAAGTCCACCCGGTTCTACCCCACCTCCATCGCCGTCAATCTCATCTTCGGCTCCTCTCCCTCCGGGGACGCGGGGGGGGCGGGTGGTGGTGGCACACAGCGGAAGCCGCAGCCTGCGGGAGGGCTCGGGGTGAGATGGGGGCGGGGTGGGGGGGAGGGGGCGGGGGGTATTTCGGTTGCGTGCTTGCCTTGCCCGTTGACTGTTGGGGCGTGCTCATTTATGGCTTGCCTGCCCTGTCTGGTGGTAGTATTTTGTCGGTTGGTGAGGCGTCCCCCTGGAGAGTCAGCCGTGACAACACCTTGTAGAGACACGTCCAATGCTCGCGAGGGTTAGTTTCCCGGGTTTTTTTTTTGTGTGTGTTTGCTTTCCTTGTTTTTTCTTGCCACGCCGTCTATGTTCTCCGTCTTCAGCCACCTTCTGGTGTCTCGTACGGTAGTGTCGATCGGTGGCGGGGGCGGAGGGGGGGAAGAGAGAAAAGGGGCAAAGGGAGTGTAGTTGCGGTCACCCTCTTTTCATCCTGGGGTGTGGCCATCGGCTCTGTTGTAGGTGCACTTGCCACCCAAACCCCACCCCCATGGTATTGTACACGAGCGAAATTGTAAATTTGATTGCCGCCCTCGTCTGTCTGATTTCTCGAGTGTCCTTGACGCATGAAAGGCACTTTGACAATCGTGGTTGGCAGTGTCTAATCGCATTTAAGATCTATTGCCAGCGTCGCATAAAAAGAAGTGTCGTTCCGCCGCCGCCGCGGCCGTGCTCTTAGCGCTTGTTGTTTGTGCGTGACTTTTTGCTCTCTCTGTTCCCCGTCCGTCTCTTTTCCGCTGAACGCTCCATGTTTGGTACACCTCTGGCATGCACGGCTTCACGCTCCTGATCCTCCTGCCTGTGCCTGTGCACCGCTGGCGCGGCGGCGTTTCGATGTCGGTGGCGGCCGTGGTTGGCGGTGGTGCTTGACGCTTGGAAAAACCGCAACATTTATTTTGCATCCACTCGGCGGCGGTTGTTTAGGGCGGGAAGAGGGAGGATGACACGAGCATCCACATCATCGTCGAAACCAATTTTCAGGTGAGAGAAGAGCGTCGGCCGGGTCTGTCTCCCCCCTCCCTCCCCCGCCTTGTTCGAAAGATGCGTTCGGCCTTTCTTCTGTGGACGTGACGCGCTCTCTCGGGTTTTGCTTTTTCTCGGCATGGGTGTTTCTTACGACGTGTGGGGGAGAAACGCGCTAAGCCAGGCACAACAACAATGAGGACGGAGAATCTCTTGATTGCGACAATACTGCTGCAGTCCCCTCTCTACCGGTGTTGTAGTTCTTGCCAACGAGCAACGTACAAACTCGCAGCTCTCTCCGTCCATTATCGCCCCCCATTAGAAAACACGTGTTCTGCAGTTCTTGCTGTCTTGTGATTTCTCTCTTGATTGTGCGGGGACCAAGCAATGCCCCAACGATCAACCCCTCCCCCACCCCACCCCCCCGTCCTCTCGAGGACACGTGGCCAATGGTCTAACAACTAAGGCATGCAAAACATGGGTAACCCCCCCCCGGGAAGAGACGTAAGGAAGCTGACATGGCAGTACCGCATGTGCGGGATGGGAGAGGAGAGGTTGCCGAGAATAGTATGGGAGGCGAAGTGGGCAAACAAAAAGAGGGGTAGACAACCCACGGAATGGGTCAAGGTTGTAGAGGACGTATGGAAGGGATTGGACATCGACGAAGATGAAACGCTGGAAACGGAGGGTCTACAGGGGTTCAAGAAGAAGATATCTGTTGCTTGTGCCGAGAGAGAAGAACAGAATCTAAGGAAAGAAACCAAGGATAAGGAGGGTCTAGAAGTGTACGGAATGTTGAAAGAAGGAATAGGGTTCAAGGATTACCTACATGGACCAATGGATGCAGGGACAAAGCTTAAGGTCAAATTCAGGACCGGGGACATAGGCCTTCGCGAACGTCGACGAAGACATAGGACGGTAGACGACGAAGACGACAAGTTCAAATGCGATTGCGGCTTCGAATGCGAAGACAGTGTTCATGTAGTCGCGGAATGTCCGTGGTACGAAAAGGAGAGGGAAGTGTACATGACTGAGCTGGGAAGAATACAAGGGACGTACAGGGAGATGTTTGAGGCATGGAATAGAGAGGAGAGGACGGTAGCGGTACTGGGGAGTAGAAAGTGGTTTGAACAAGCGGGAAGTGATATCGTTAGGATAGACAGACTAGGAAAGAAATTTTTGAGCCACCTTTGGCAAAGTAGGAAGGAACGATTGACCATCGGTGATCGGTCCTGTGGGAACAATGCTCCGTCCTCTCGAGGACGCGTGGTCAATGGTCTAACCGCTAAGGCATGCAAAGCATAAGAGTACGCCCCCCCCCCCCCCCCC